TTTATTGTGCTGATGTACTGTACTACAGTTGATATGAAAGACACATATGCCTCATCTGTGGTGTGCAACATTACAAATATGTTTATTATATAATATCATGTATAGATGATTAAAAAAATAAAAAGATACAGCACTGAAGTATAGAATTTTATATAATTAATAATAATAATAGAACATTTATATCAGTTATAAAACTAAAGATTTGTAGTAAAAATTGTATATTGTTCACATTTAATTTTGTAGTTTCCATTAATGCTTTACATTTAATATAAAGTAATACAGTGATTATTATAGTGAATATTAATAACATAACATATAATATAGTGATATATTGTGTGCATTTTATAGGGGAGTGAAGGATCTATTCCTAGGGCAAAACCCTTCAAGTACACTTATGAAAAAGAAATTGTAATGTAAGTAATTTAATGATTTGTTTTAATTATATCTTTGAGTTTTAAAATTTTTCAGTTTTTAGAAATTACTGGAAAAATGAGTAAATATTTCTATAATAGAAATTTTCATTATTATTAATAATAATATTCTTATTATTATGAATAAAAGCTTTAAATCAATTAACTTACAATAAAATTAATAAAAATATTTGTAATTGACAAATACAAATATTTTTATTACATTGATGATTTGATATAAAATTAAGACTTTATCTATATATATATATAAAAATGGACATGTATGTCCCTATATTTCACTTTTCCGCCAAAACTACACATAGCACGTGAATGGTGTTTGTATGTGGTAGTAGCCCCAAGTCTCCATTTGTGCACCAGGGGGTTGCGTCTCGATAGCTATAAGGGTGCGGGAGATATGATCTTGAAAGTGGCTTTCTATTTCAAATGTTTTGTTCGAATTTCTTTGAATTTGTTCGAATTTAATTCGAACAGTGTTCAAATTTGTTCGAATTAAATTTGATTATAGAACGATAGTAAACGTTCCAGAAACGTTGAAAATAGTTCGTTTGACTGGACGTGAACAGGAGACGTTCAGAAATAGAATCGGGACCAGGTCTCTAATTAGTCTGGAAATGGGGGACCTAATTCTTGCATTATATGAAAACGGGTAAGATTGGCTATAATGTAATTATCTTAATCTTCACTATCGTTACTTTTTAAAAACCCAGCGAAGCGGGTTCTTGCAGCAAAATTATGGATTACTTAGAAAAACAGTCTTTTATATATAAAAAAAACTATATTACATACAAATAAAAACCCAGCGAAGCAGGTCCTTGCAGCTTGTTCAGAATAAAAATAGAAACAAATTTTAACTATGAAAGTATAAAAAGATCAGAAAGAACCTTGAACAGTACTTAATTGAATCAATAAAATTAAGTTTTATAAATAACTAATCATCTTTAATTTCCCATCATTCATTCTATGTTTAAAACACGAACTTTCAATCCTTTTAAAGGATTATCTTTCAATTTTGCAAACATTATAAATTATACAAATGTATTATATGATAGTTATTGAATGAATTTAACAGAACTCTTACTTCAGTTTTAGATTTTGAATATTATGCACGCCTTTAAATAATTAATTAACAATTAATCAATGTTTATGTATGACTATATTTAAAGTAATTAGACTTGTTTCTCTGATTACTTGTATAAGTTTTATATCTAACTTTAGCCTATTCTGAAGCTAGTCTTAATAAAGAAAGCAGGTTAACTTCTTTTCTTACCTTAAAATTATTCTTTCTTTATTTCAAATTAAAAAATTAACATTGTTTGAAACTTAGTTCTCAAATATTTATATGTAAATATAATTTTTTTTGTATATAAAATNACTATATATATATATATATATATATATATACACTATCATACATTATAGGGTCTATTTCTTAAAATAATGGATAGTTTAGATTGTATTTTCATATTCATTAAAAGTATGGATCACATTCTAATTTACAATCAAAAATTTAATTATTTCGCATCTTATTATTGAAATTAGTTTATAAGATAATTGACCGAACCCAACATTAACCATTTCAATTGAGAATAAGATTTAAATGATCAAGATTGTTATCATGACGGTGATTACAAAAGTATAAAGTTAGTTAATTGGCAACATTAACTAAATGCAACGTTCTCATTAGCACATCATAATATTTAACAAAATGAAAAAGAGAGAGACCAGAATTTTGTTACGATGATCATTCGAATAACATTTGTTGCTGCTGATGTATTAGTTTGATGTATTTAGAGAAAATATTTTTGTAAGTAATTACAGTAAACATTTTTTATATTACGTGAAAGTCTGAGTAATATTTATTCAAAATAAAGGGCCAAGTATAAAATACCTTTAGATTAATTTAACATTAATAAAAATATTATAATTACAAAATATGTTATTGTTTTTTAATTTTAATAAATTAAAATTGAAGTTATTAATTTGTACACAAAGAAAATACAGTAAAGTTTTCTATAATGCATATCTCGTCTCATATTTTGAGAAGGCTTTATAAAATTGTTTTTCCTATTCGTACTAAATAATATATTATTTTGTTATTTTATACATTCTTAATTTTATATTATCATTTTTTCCTTTAAATAGTACTTTAAATAAAGTTTTTTTAATACTAAAACGAGAAAAATTCCTATATGTTGTACTTCAAGTTAACGTGTTTTTTAGAAAACATCGATTTATAATTCAGTAATTATTTTACTGCAAGGATTTTAAGCAATTTATCAATTTGAATGCTAAAAGTGAGTTTAAAAAATTAAATCAAGTAACGGTATTAAATTCTTTCTTCTAACAATTTTTGTTAAAGTACATGTTTTAAATATTAATCAAAGATCAAATCCCTCTTGGAATGGCAGAAAAGTAAGTTAAAACAGCAAGTTTGTTAAAAATTCTTAAGAAATTTCAAATAATAGAGTCATTTATTATAATAAAGGATTAGCGATCACTTCACTTCAGTAATACTTTAATCTATTTTTTTCTTCCATGTATATTTTAAAATAAAACTTTCATGCAATGTTATATAATCTTTGAAATTTTATGTATATCTACTTCAAATAACAGAGTATCTTATAAAAGAAAAATATTTTAGTTTTTCATAGTTTTACTGTGCAAAATAATATTTTGTTATCTGTTCTAGAATTATATACACATACATGTACAGTATGTAAATATATTATAAAATTCCACTTTATTACATACATTGTAATATTTAACGTAATAAATTTATGGTTTATTCCATATAATAATAGTATACGATTAAAATTAATTACAAATAATTATATTATCTGTTTAAATTAATAGTTTTTATTAGAGTGTAGAGTCTATTTAAAGGTCTAGACTGAAGGAAGAGAGAAAGAGACGATCCCAGTAGGGTACTGAGCAGATAGGATGAATCAGAAAGTATGAGGGGGGGAAACTTGTTTACAAGTTGGAATAGTAGATCCAGCGTTTACAAGGAAATAATTCTATTTCTTTCACATTTGTCGAAACAATAGCATAGAATATACAACTTAAAATTAATTAATATTCTATGTTTGTTATTGAAAAACATAGAATATTAAGCTTTTTTTCCTTTTTAGATAATTTAGCAATTTAAAATTATTGAATAATTGATTTTCTTTGATTTTTATTTTAAACTAACTTTATTGAACAGGTGTTCAATAAAGTTAGTTTAAAAAAAAATCAAAGAAAATCAATTATTAATTAATGGAGTAGTCTTTTAGTTATTTCATTGTAAAAAAAATAATAGTGACAAGTTTGTCTTGTAAATTTTTTCTGAAAAGTTTTATTTAGATAGCTAAATTTTATCAAATAATTAGTGAGACCTTAGGAATTATTTACTATAATGCCTGAATGTAACTTTAAATTTGTTAAGATTGTAGGGATGTAAAGATCTCTAGTCATGTAACTATTGTTTAATCTCACACAAAGAACTACAAGTTGGGTGGTTATAATGGTCCAGACCTGACTCTGGTCACATTCTACATGTTTGACTGCCCCAAACAAAAGATCTCCCTGAATCTCATGCCCACGCATAGGTTAACCTGATCAGATCCCTAGTTGTTAGGTTTTCACACATGCAAAAACAATCAACCCAACACCTCCCCTTTTAAGAAGGAAAAAAGACTGACCAAATTGGCAGTTTATGCAATGTAATAGTTCTTTTGAGAAGCATTGATTTGAATCTGTTCGATTGGGATCCAAGTGCAGGCTGATGCTAAATTCTTGGGCGGTGTTTCTTTGGGGAATGGTCTCTTGAACAATAGGGATTCATTGTTCTGCTGGGCTAGTCTTTCAACCTGAAGCTTTAATTTTGGAGTCAGAGGGACATAGTGGGATGGAGAAGGCTTCCGTGAGAACTACAAGTTTGGTGGTTATAATGTCTGGTCATGTCCTACTTGTTCAACTGCCCTGAATAAAAGACATTTTCATACGTGCAAAAACAACCACCCCAACAAAATTGAGCAAAAATTTTGAAAAAATAAAAAGAAAGATTGTTTAAAAATCACTCATGATACTCAATGTACTTAAATTTTATTCATATATAATTTGTATCATCAAAAGAAGTGCTTATGCTCCAAATATTGTGTACATTAGTAGAACTGTTTTATTTGTGGATGTATACCAAAGATGAACTCGAACATTCAGCCAAACTAAGTAACAATGAATTTTATTGTGCTGATGTACTGTACTACAGTTGATATGAAAGACACATATGCCTCATCTGTGGTGTGCAACATTACAAATATGTTTATTATATAATATCATGTATAGATGATTAAAAAAATAAAAAGATACAGCACTGAAGTATAGAATTTTATATAATTAATAATAATAATAGAACATTTATATCAGTTATAAAACTAAAGATTTGTAGTAAAAATTGTATATTGTTCACATTTAATTTTGTAGTTTCCATTAATGCTTTACATTTAATATAAAGTAATACAGTGATTATTATAGTGAATATTAATAACATAACATATAATATAGTGATATATTGTGTGCATTTTATAGGGGAGTGAAGGATCTATTCCTAGGGCAAAACCCTTCAAGTACACTTATGAAAAAGAAATTGTAATGTAAGTAATTTAATGATTTGTTTTAATTATATCTTTGAGTTTTAAAATTTTTCAGTTTTTAGAAATTACTGGAAAAATGAGTAAATATTTCTATAATAGAAATTTTCATTATTATTAATAATAATATTCTTATTATTATGAATAAAAGCTTTAAATCAATTAACTTACAATAAAATTAATAAAAATATTTGTAATTGACAAATACAAATATTTTTATTACATTGATGATTTGATATAAAATTAAGACTTTATCTATATATATATATAAAAATGGACATGTATGTCCCTATATTTCACTTTTCCGCCAAAACTACACATAGCACGTGAATGGTGTTTGTATGTGGTAGTAGCCCCAAGTCTCCATTTGTGCACCAGGGGGTTGCGTCTCGATAGCTATAAGGGTGCGGGAGATATGATCTTGAAAGTGGCTTTCTATTTCAAATGTTTTGTTCGAATTTCTTTGAATTTGTTCGAATTTAATTCGAACAGTGTTCAAATTTGTTCGAATTAAATTTGATTATAGAACGATAGTAAACGTTCCAGAAACGTTGAAAATAGTTCGTTTGACTGGACGTGAACAGGAGACGTTCAGAAATAGAATCGGGACCAGGTCTCTAATTAGTCTGGAAATGGGGGACCTAATTCTTGCATTATATGAAAACGGGTAAGATTGGCTATAATGTAATTATCTTAATCTTCACTATCGTTACTTTTTAAAAACCCAGCGAAGCGGGTTCTTGCAGCAAAATTATGGATTACTTAGAAAAACAGTCTTTTATATATAAAAAAAACTATATTACATACAAATAAAAACCCAGCGAAGCAGGTCCTTGCAGCTTGTTCAGAATAAAAATAGAAACAAATTTTAACTATGAAAGTATAAAAAGATCAGAAAGAACCTTGAACAGTACTTAATTGAATCAATAAAATTAAGTTTTATAAATAACTAATCATCTTTAATTTCCCATCATTCATTCTATGTTTAANCAAGCTTTGAACAACGGGCGTAGTCGAACGGTACACACTCGGTAAGTAATCCTATAATTTTTTGTTTATAGCATAGTTTATACGGATTACTCCCAAAAAATTATACGTGTTTTGGAAATGTTGAGTGGAATTAGTCTAGAATCGGTTAATTTTATATAAGAAAACCTTTCAAACAGCCTTAGTCCGTAAAGTTCCCACCTGTCGGGCTGTGATTGGCTCATGTATTTAATCATTCCTACAACATAAAATTCGATTAGCATGGAATGTATCTAAGCGTTATAGGGGGGTCTACTGTACCTGGATATTCAATATCTGCAAGTATCTTGTAATACAACTATTCAATAAAATTATTGCAAATATATTCACAAAATTTAAAACAATGGGTAGGTAATATTCCTATAATTTTTTTGTAAATTCTAAAAATAAGATTATTTCCAGATTAAAAACAAGTAAAACTACTCTTTCTTATCAGACTTCGAGTGATTCATTTTAGCAGACAAACAAATAACAAAGAAATACTAAACCTTAATTACCAGTAACTTCATGTTCATTGATTTCACAAAATCCAAATGCATTTTGCTTACAATAAAGCCTCATCAGTGGACATAATGAACTTTAACAGTTTCTGTTCTTTTTATGCTGGATGATTTTTTCCCAGCATGCATCTACATTCATTCCGGATTCAGATTTATCACATTTGCATATGCTACAATACAAAAATGTTCTATGATTCTTCTTTTGAAACAATTTTTTACTTTATATAATATTTTAACATTATTCCTATCTATTTTACAATTAAATTTATTACAATGTAGACACCACGGTGATTCTTGTCGTTTTAACCTAAAGCAGCATGTTATTTTAATTGTNTTTTTCCCAGCATGCATCTACATTCATTCCGGATTCAGATTTATCACATTTGCATATGCTACAATACAAAAATGTTCTATGATTCTTCTTTTGAAACAATTTTTTACTTTATATAATATTTTAACATTATTTCTGTCTATTTTACAATTAAATTTATTACAATGTAGACACCATGGTGATTCTTGTCTTTTTAACCTAATAGCAGCTTCATGCTCTTTTAACTGTGTCTCTAACTTCCTTCCTTATTATGTAAAGTTTCGGTCTTGGACAAGTACACGATAGCTTGTAAATGACACCTGAGACTTTGAGTTGGTTTTTTGATATATTTTGGTCTTTGTTATTTATAACATTAATTACATCATATTTTTTTTTTGTTTTACCACTATACACATAAAAAATTTCTTGAAAACTGGTTTATATTTTTCAAATAAATTATTTATATAAGCGAACTTAACATATAAATTATTCGTTATTTGATTCTTAACTTTATATCTATGATTTATATAATATTTATATCACTTACATACTGTATTCTTTGGGTAATCATTTAATAAATATTTTGTAAAGAGTTTTCTTGTTTCTATTTCTATATCTTCTTGTAGCATTGTTCTATTTAATATTTTCTTTAATTAAAAATAAACCTCGCTGTTATAAATCCAGCAAAATTTAATAAAATAATAAGATTTTCAATCGTTTTCAATGATCTTTATCAGTTACAAAAAATAGAANACGCCATACTGCCCAGCAACATTAGGCATCTTCTGCCCACTCTCTACCTTTGCTATTATACTCTCACCTTTCGAAAAGAAAAACAGACGCAAAACTTAACGAGTGCCTACCCGACAGTCTCACGAATACATAAAATAATTGTTTTGTCAGAAAAATAAAAGGCTGAAATTACAAGGAAGAGTTTCAAAGTTCGGAGGAATAATATCCGATCGGTATATATCAGCTTGAGCGTCGATGTCGACGTCTCCCACACTCCGAAAAGTTTCGAATTGTTGCCCGAAGACAAGGGAAGACCGATCGGTATTCATTAATTTATGTCGCTTCTTCTTGTGTTTGTTCTGTGGGGTGTTTGTTATCCGATCATGTGTTCGTTGTCCGAACATAAAAATCTTTCGCGAAAGTGTTCGTTGTCCGAACATAAAAATCTTTCGCGAAAGTGTTCATTATCCGATTTGTTCGTTATGCGATCTGTTCGTTAACCGATCACCCACTGTAGTTATTGATAATTACTTATTGAATTATATAACATAAAAGATATCTTTTTGCTTAATTTTTAGGTATGCCTATTTTAAGAAGCTTGATTATTTTTCAACAGAATGCATATATTCTCCAAATGCTTACAGGTAATTAATTATATATAGTAATTTTGTTTTAAGTTAGAAAAGTAAATATAAATTTATTTAAACATGCAGTGGAATACAACTGATGTGAGATTCATCTTTCATAATATTATTAAGACTACTTTATGACATGCCCTTTAGATGGATAAATAACATAATTTATAATAACTTTTGAAATTTCTTCCTTCAAATTCAAATTTTTTGTTGTCAGCTTGGAGTATTGTAAAGAAAAAGAATCATATATAAATCATGACTCAGTATACATTTGATGAATTGTAATAATAATAATGATGATGATGATGATGATAATTTCAGAAATCACAAAAATTTTTTCTTATATCCCAATATTAGATTACAAAACATTATACAGGTACCAAACTATTTATCTTTCGAAAAATTACAGTCCATGTATCTTAAGCCAAGCTGGCCCCTTCTTTATGCTGTATGAAGGTGCTGGAGTATTTGAACACTTCACTTTTCTTTAGTTGTTTGGAAATTTTACTTTCCTTACCCTTATTATTCAAATTTAGATTTTGATTTTAGGAAATTGGAAATTGATCACTTAGTAATATTTAAAAATGAAAGATAGGAAAACTGTTAGAAGTCAGAAACATAACATTAAATGTAATAACTTCCCTATAAAAAGTAATCTTTTAAATACTATAGCATCAGCATACATGTTAAAGACAAACTAGAGGGACCAGCTCATTACATTCAGACTAAGTACAGTCGACCCCCCTGTAATGTACGTTCCTATAACGTAGCGAAAAAATTGTAGCAACATTCGTATAAAGTACCTCCTATAACGTCGTTTCACGACAAGATTGATAGAATCTGGACCAATAGTGGATGAGCAGCCGAACTACTTTCCTCCGCCCTGCGCCACGCTACGGAGCGGCTAAATTGAGTTTGCTATCNCATTCCTCCCTTTGACGATTCACCGCGCTCCTTCCATCTATTAGCCTTGGTTTTTTTTTTTTTTTTTGTTTTTTTTTGTCAGCAATTTACTCTTTATGCAAACTAAGATAATATATAAACAGAATCACATTTCTGAAACATGCACTTTTCAGGAATGCATTCAGGTTCTGCATAAATTATATAGTATTTATAAAATAATGTATATAATAATATTAAATTATATTAAATTATAATGTATTTATAGAAAATACATTATATATAATTTTATAATTAATTGACAAATTTGAATGAAAGTGATGGAAATGTGTATGTTAATTTTCAAAAAGCATAAAACAAAATGCAAATTGACTGATAAGATTAGTTTTTTATATATTATTTACCTAGTGTATTATATATAGATATATGTCCAAATTAGGATCATGAATTCTTTTCTTGCAATCAAGTAGATTCTATAAGCAATGAATATCTTAAATAATGACAAAATTTATAGAAGTATATAAAAATATTTTTATGTTAATCCTTGACATATTTTGGATTATATCATCATCATGATATTAATTAATTAACTATTGATTAAGGAAGCTGCTTTTGAAGCATTAGTGCCATGACATCTATATGTAATTATTATTAAAAAACAATATTACTGTTTTGTAGAAATTGTTGATATAAAGCTGTCATATTATAGAATAACATTTATTGTTTTATAGAAATTAATAAGTGATTGTGATTTATATATAAAATATCATTGTATTAGATTCTACTAGAACTATTAAAAATTTAGTACATTAGTGCTATACTTAAAATTCTGTGATTGGAAAAATTAGGTTTAAATTTGGTTACTACTGTAAATGATTGCAGTGAACATTGTAATCATTTTAATTTATATTTTTGCTAAATGCATAGATTTTTCTGGTTTCAATGTAATTTCAGTGTGGCTGAGCCACACTGAAGCTCAATAGAAAGCTCATATATTTATTGATAGCAAATAAACAAACAATAATGTAAATTTATGAAAAGTTGCTACATAATTAATTTATTATTTATTATCGTAATAAGCATTTGAATGTGTTTTGCTTAAAAAATATACAAGAATCAAACAATAAAGTATTACATATTTAATTTTCATTTAAATGATAGGATAGTCTTTTTATTATTCACTATTGTGAATGTTTTCTATTGAGTTGATTTCAGTTTCCAATACTTAGTTATATGTCTTAAGTTTAAAGTATGATGATGATTCAAATTTTGTTAGAAGGAAGGAACTAGAAAGAAAACATTGACTTTCTTAAAAACAACTTTCTTTCAACCTTTAAAAGTTGCTTATAAAACTGTTTTAGAAGAAATTTTTCCTAAGATTAATAATGAAGAATGTAGAAGCATTATTGCTATTAAATTAGATTTGTTATCTATAAGCAGTCTATATTTCAACAAATTACTAATTATAATTTTTTTAATTAGAGGTTTTGCAAGAGGATATATAAAAGATTTAGAATCAATAAGGCCAAGTAGCATCTTAGGTAAGATATATTCTGTTAAATTCTTATATAAATAAAAAAAAAATTAATCTCAATCATCATTTTATGTAATTATACATTGTGATGCAGACTTTAAATTAGGAAATAGAATATTAAATATAGAACATAAAATGCATTTGAAATAAATAAAAAAATAAAAATTAATGGAAAATGCCCTAGCGGACGAACTAAAGAAAAATAAACAAACAAAATAAATAGCAAAAAAAATTAATTATTGTAAAAGGATCTCCACATGGTAGACAATGAGTCTGTATCTCTATGGTTTATGCAACTGGTTCCCATGTGCACCTTGTAGATTTCCAAATTCTCAAGATGTTTGATTGTTTGTCTATTTGTCATCGTTTTTATAATTGCCGCTTGATCCCATTGGACATTAACATCCTGCTGCCTTGCGTATGATGCTAATGCAGTGTTGTCAAGGTTCTTACTGATTGTATATTTGTGTTCTTTGAGCCTTTGTTTTAAACTGTGCATCATTGCACCCATGTAAACAAGCTTGGAATTGAAATGTTGGTCATGTAAAGGCACCAAATATATACCTGTTGTTGAATTCTGATCCTCTTTCTTTTTATTGTTTCTTAAAAGTTTGAAAAACCAATGCAGTTTCTGACCACGCTTGCTATGTGATTTCCCATCATCTAGGTGTACTCTATCTCTCCTGAAAATTTGTAACTGCTATACTGATACACCCTGTATAATTGAAAAAGCAAAAGTAGCATATTTTAAAAATATAAGATTTACTATCTTTGAATTACAGTAGAGCATCGTTTATCCGAATCAATTGGGGACTAAGGTTGGCCAGATAACTTATTTTTCGGATAACCAATTATGTACGGAAAAATATATTCCATGTTGAAATTTTTCTCCATGTTACATGTCGCTTTGCGTTGAATTTTCATTGATGTTAAGCCTAACGTAAACTTTTTAAAATAATAATCGTGGCTATTGTATTGTTAAAAATTATTTATTTATTTTTTACAAACAAAATAAATATATTGCAAAATATAAAAACAAAAAAATTATACTTTAGAAGTTTTAATCTAGTATCAAAAACACCAGCATGACACACAGTCCTCAGAAAAACACCACACAAAAGTGCCAGTGCTGCCAGATAAAACACACACACCAACAAAAAAATATTGGAGTAGCCCAAGATATAGCCAAAGATTGCAGTGCCACAGCACTAGCAAAAATTTAAATTTGCCAACTGGAATGCTTTCGGTTAACTGACGTTTTGGATAATTGGCTTTTGGATAAACAACGCTCTACTGTATTAAACTTATTTCTTTTGAAATTTTTTAAAGTATAATAGCACATTAATTGGATTCAATTAATTAGAAAGTATATTCTTAGTAGCTGCTGTGCTTAAATCTTGGCCTTTCTTATCTTGTGAAATTGATTGCTTTGATTCTGGTTACAAAAATATTTGCCTCTAAAGTTAAACTTGTTGGAGTGATTTGCATAAAAGAAAAAATATAGTAGAAGTGTCATATTTTCTGATGCAATGTTCACTCTAGGTTTTTTTTTTTTTTTTTGTTTTTTTTTGTCAGCAATTTACTCTTTATGCAAACTAAGATAATATATAAACAGAATCACATTTCTGAAACATGCACTTTTCAGGAATGCATTCAGGTTCTGCATAAATTATATAGTATTTATAAAATAATGTATATAATAATATTAAATTATATTAAATTATAATGTATTTATAGAAAATACATTATATATAATTTTATAATTAATTGACAAATTTGAATGAAAGTGATGGAAATGTGTATGTTAATTTTCAAAAAGCATAAAACAAAATGCAAATTGACTGATAAGATTAGTTTTTTATATATTATTTACCTAGTGTATTATATATAGATATATGTCCAAATTAGGATCATGAATTCTTTTCTTGCAATCAAGTAGATTCTATAAGCAATGAATATCTTAAATAATGACAAAATTTATAGAAGTATATAAAAATATTTTTATGTTAATCCTTGACATATTTTGGATTATATCATCATCATGATATTAATTAATTAACTATTGATTAAGGAAGCTGCTTTTGAAGCATTAGTGCCATGACATCTATATGTAATTATTATTAAAAAACAATATTACTGTTTTGTAGAAATTGTTGATATAAAGCTGTCATATTATAGAATAACATTTATTGTTTTATAGAAATTAATAAGTGATTGTGATTTATATATAAAATATCATTGTATTAGATTCTACTAGAACTATTAAAAATTTAGTACATTAGTGCTATACTTAAAATTCTGTGATTGGAAAAATTAGGTTTAAATTTGGTTACTACTGTAAATGATTGCAGTGAACATTGTAATCATTTTAATTTATATTTTTGCTAAATGCATAGATTTTTCTGGTTTCAATGTAATTTCAGTGTGGCTGAGCCACACTGAAGCTCAATAGAAAGCTCATATATTTATTGATAGCAAATAAACAAACAATAATGTAAATTTATGAAAAGTTGCTACATAATTAATTTATTATTTATTATCGTAATAAGCATTTGAATGTGTTTTGCTTAAAAAATATACAAGAATCAAACAATAAAGTATTACATATTTAATTTTCATTTAAATGATAGGATAGTCTTTTTATTATTCACTATTGTGAATGTTTTCTATTGAGTTGATTTCAGTTTCCAATACTTAGTTATATGTCTTAAGTTTAAAGTATGATGATGATTCAAATTTTGTTAGAAGGAAGGAACTAGAAAGAAAACATTGACTTTCTTAAAAACAACTTTCTTTCAACCTTTAAAAGTTGCTTATAAAACTGTTTTAGAAGAAATTTTTCCTAAGATTAATAATGAAGAATGTAGAAGCATTATTGCTATTAAATTAGATTTGTTATCTATAAGCAGTCTATATTTCAACAAATTACTAATTATAATTTTTTTAATTAGAGGTTTTGCAAGAGGATATATAAAAGATTTAGAATCAATAAGGCCAAGTAGCATCTTAGGTAAGATATATTCTGTTAAATTCTTATATAAATAAAAAAAAAATTAATCTCAATCATCATTTTATGTAATTATACATTGTGATGCAGACTTTAAATTAGGATTATCAGAAATTATTCCTAGAGAATATTTGTAGAAAAACTAATTGGTTTAATATTAATTTATCTTTCTTTATTCTGATCTTATGCATTTGAGTACAAATAAAGGAGGATACAATGGAATAAATTTAGGATACAATCAAAATAAAAATTTATACCTACTTTTAATTTTTCAAAAGCTCTTTACATAAGACCACAAAAAAAATTGAAAAATCTTAAAGCTAAATGCTATATAAATTTATATTTAAAGATTATCAAAAATATTTATTAAGTATCATTAATGAATATAAGAATACAGTAGAACCTCAATTATCTGGACTAATTGGGAATGAAGGTAGTCCGGATAAGGAAAAATTAAGATAATCGAAACAAATACTTTAATTTGTCTTTTAATGATAATACAACACGTTTTCTTTTCGATGACATAGCGGTAATATTAAAAATAAATACTGCATTTAAATTGTGATCAAATTTTCAAGAAACAAACATTCATATTGAATTTGGACTACTACTGACCAGCGCTAACAGACTACTCATTGTTTAAAAGACCCTCTGGTGGCGCAAGAAGTTGGATTTTATAAAATAAAAAGCAGTTGAAACTGCATTTTTATGAATAAAAATTTGACAAACTATTTATCGTTTTATGATGAGTAAAATTTTTTCGTCGC